GATTTTTCCATAACATAACAGAGAAACCCAGACAAACTTTTTGTCCCACCTAATCTTTTTAAGGCCTTGTCTGCTAATTCCATTATATCTAACATTTCTGGGTCTGTTTCTGTTTCTTCAAGTTATGGGTCATATTTTCCAAACTGTTTCACATATCTAGCTATTTCTTATTAGATGATGAAATGTGGTATTAAGTTGTTGATTATTTGGATTTTGTCATCATCCTTTACAGAGTATCAGTTTTTTTGTTTTGCAGGGCACTAAGTTACTAGTGGGCTGACTTGGTCCATTTAAGTCTTTTTAAAACCTCTATTGTGATCTATTTAGCTTTTACTAGGCTCTTTGCAAGGTCATCCCTGAATGCTAAGTCTTTCCACTCTAGCTCACTGAAGTTCAGGTGTTTCCCAGCCCTGGGTGAAGGCTAAGAATTGTCCAGCTTCTTTTCTCACTAATTGTACTTTGCCTGGTCTTATAGAATCTCATCGTAGCATGCAATGCAGCTTGGTGTGCGGGAGTCTCAGGGGGACCCCCACACACAAATGGAGAGTCCTTTCTCTGCATTAGGTATTCTGCCCCACAGATTTCAGCCACTCAGCCCCCCAAACTCAAATTTTCTTCTCAATGCAGCAGTACTACCCTGCTTTTCTTAGGGTCTTCCTCTTTGGACAACAGATTTTATTATTTTTATTCTTTATTTTACTTTGTGGCTGCACTGGGTGTCCGTTGCTTTGTGCGGGCTTTCTCTCGTTTTGGTGAGCAGGGGCTACTCTCTAGTTGCGTTGCGCAGCTTCTCATTGCACTGGCTTCTCTTGCCGCGCAGTGAAGGCTCTGGGCATGCAGGCTTCGGTGACTGCAGCACTCGGTCTCAGTAGCTGGCATACAGGCCTAGCTGCTCTGTGGCATACGGAATACTCCTCCAGGGGACCTGTGTCACCTGCATTGGCAGGCCAGTTCCTATCCGCTGCACCTCCAGGGAAGTCCCATGGAATATGAATTTTTTTTTTCTCTCCTGTATTTTATTTTATTTTCACTTATTTTTATTAGTTGGAGGCTAATTACTTTACAATATTGTAGTGGTTTTTGTCATACATTGACATGATTCAGCCATGGATTTACATGTGTTCCCCATCCCGATCCCCCCTCCCACCTCCCTCTGTACCCGATCCCTCTGGGTCTTTCCAGTGCACCAGGCCCGAGCACTTGTCTCATGCATCCCACCTGGGCTGCTGATCTGTTTCACCAAATATGAATTTTTTAAAAATGTGTTTTTTATTTGGCTTCCTCAAGTCTTAGTTGTGGCATACAGGGTCATTTTGTTGTGGTGGGGGGACTCCAGAGCGTACCGGCTCAGTAGTTGCAGCGCATGTGGCATCTTAGTTCCTCGATCAGGAATTGAACCCAGGACCCTGGCATTGGAAGCCCAGAGTCTTAACCACTGGACCACCAGGGAAGTCCCCTGGACTGTGGATTTTGCTGCAGACACGCAGTGTGTCTACACTTGGAAAGCCAAAGTCATCACAGGGCTTCTGCATTTGTATCCCTTTTCTCAGCAGTCAAGAAAGTACCACCGTACTACCTGTGGTACAATGTCTGAAAAGAACTGTTCCATGTTTTTGAGGGTTTCCAGTTGTTTCATGTAGGAGTGAACATCTGTTCCAGTCACTTCATGGTATAAGGCAGAAAACCCTCAGCCATAGGCTAGAATCTCTAGCCCATGCATATCAATACTTGCCCACTCGCATGAGAGCTGGAACTGCCTGCTCAGTACATGGTATTACTTTTATGTTTTGCTCCAGCTAGCCTTATGGCTTAAGTGTGATTCTTTTATGTTTAATAACATTGTAGTAAATTGTAGGTTTTAGAAAATTGACTTAAAAGGTAATTTAATATGTGCAGCTGTTAAAATTCTTAATCAAAATGATCATCTTTTGGTTTTTGTGTTTGGATTCATGTAATATTTATTTCAGTCAAGTCCATTATATTTAGGAACTATTAACTTGTAATGTTAAAAAGAACTGTCGAGGCTTGCTGTTACTTAACATAGCTTAAACTAAAATGTCGAGGTACAGGCTCAATAGGCTCTTGAGAATGAGCAACGGACCAGAAGCTGAGTTACTCATGTTCATTTTGTCTGGGAACCACCACATCTGCCACTGAGGCTGAGTAATCATGACTTATTAGTGTGGTTATGGAAAGTATATATCAATTTAATTGTGTGAACCGTCCTTTCTTTAGGGAAAATATTCTCACCAGATTGCTGAAAATTTTCCCTTTTTAGAATCACTTAAAATTAAAACTGTGAATAAGTCTTTTATCTTGTTGAATGACCTGTTTAATCAGTTGGGGTGCATATTTTTTTTATATTTCTGGAATAGAAATGTAGTTTTTTTCCTTCCTCTGTATCCCAGAAATCTCATTATTTTAGTGTCTAAGTTCAAGTTTTGTTCTCCCAGAGTTCGTTTCTAGAGGACAATTGTGTAGGGATATCATGAACAAACTCTTGAACTTCTTTTGTCTTGCCTTAAGTAGTATCACATTTCTCTTTTGTGTTTTCACATAGTAAATGTGGAAGTTAACAGGTTTTTTTTAATTGCGTCTGATGCTTATCTGTAAGTGTACAACAAGAAATTTTTCACTAATTATTCAGTTCCTCTGAATTCTACAAACTTTAGTTTGTGTGTGTGTGTAGGATCACAAAATAATTCTTTTATCTCCAACTGTAAAATATCTTTTATGCACATAATAATATTCAGAGAAACAGCTGTAGATTTCGTGATTAATCACAGTTTCTCAAAAAAATACCATTCCTTTTTAAAAGATTCTATAATTATTTTAAACTTATTATTACTTTTTATAGTTTTCTGTGAATTAAAACTCAAGAAAAAGAGGAACAGACTAAAAATTCACATAGGTTTCTTTTTGGCTCAGAGGAAAACTTTATAGTTAATTGATTCAGTGCCAAGTGTAGGCCTTCTTTTTATAGATTTTTATTTGAACACAAAGTGCCCCTGCATTTAGGGGGAACAGGAGCTTAGATTTATGAATATCTTTCTTTTACATATTACATGCAACAAAAAAATGTGCTTAATATCACCTTTTATTTTTATAGCAACAGGAGTTCTTTAATGTTTTATTCTCATTGCTACATCTTATTCAGTTTGTCTTTGAACCACAAATTCTTTTACCATATGGTTTAAAAAGACTTTCTTAAATCCAAAGATCACTTACTGTATGTGTGTCTATATATACATCTGTATGTGTGTGTATAATTTTTTCTGCAAATACAGTATTTTTCTTTATAACAGTGAATGGCTAATACTTTCTGAGGGCTTACTATATGCCCAGCACTAATTCAAGTATATTTATATAAATTAACTAATTGAAACCTCACAGTATCCCCAGAATGTAGGTCCTGAAGGTGTTTTATCATTACCATTTTATAGATGAGGAAAGCAAGACTTAGTAAGAGGCAGAGGCCAGAACCTCAGTCAGAACATCTGGCTGTAGAAGTTATGCTTATGGCAATAGTATGTTTTAAAGTGAATACTGGCATCATGTATGTTAGAGCAACATGTTAAGAGTGTCCAGCTTCTAGAGCTTACACTTCATGAGAACCTTGGAAATTAGCAATAGATTTTATTGACAGCTTGATTGTATTTAGGGTTTTTTAATTTTGAAACTAGATAAAGCCATCAAATGAATCTGATTCTTTTGCCTTGCTAAAGAGTAGGTTTAAGTGATTTTTCTGAGGTTGCTTATTTTCTGACCGTTAATAGACTATAAGAACCTACTTGAAACCCTAAAGGAACTTGTTTAAAACATACACGTTCCCATGTCCACTTATTGAATCAGTTTATGCTTAGGGGACCCAGGAATTTATATTTTTAACAAAGCCCCTTGTTGATTATTATGCAGATACCTCATATTGGCATACATGTTCATTTGAGAACCATTATATTTAAACCTTTATCACACATCTAAATATTAACTCATTTTAATCTAATATATTATTATTAATTTATAATGGTTCAAAAAGAAAGGTACAAAGCAGCACAAAATCTTCCATAGAAAAAATTACTTTAAAAGAAAAATTCATTGGTACTGGTTGCACACTTTTATTTTTGTTTTAAATCTCAGTGAGAAAGATAAATAAGGTAGTTACTTCATCAACTATTGTTTTTTGAAATACAGTTAGTTTATAATGCTGTGTTAGTTTCAAGTGTATAGCAGAGTGATTCAGTTATATACGTGTATGTATATACTTTCTCAGAGTCTCTTCCATTGTAGGTGATTGAAAGATACTGAATATAGTTCCCTGGGCTATACAGCATATCCTTGTTTACATTTTTATATATAGTAGTGTATATATGTTAATCTCAAACTCTTAATTTCCGCACCCCCCTCCCACTATTCCCTTTGGTAAACATAAGTTTATTTTTCTGTGTCTGCATCAACTTTTTTACGTAAGGAAAAAAGTAGTATTCTTAAAGTATGCCTAAAGAGTAGGGGCACAGGAGGTTTTTTACATGTCTTACAAATGACATGTATGGATAAATAAAATAAGAATCAAGTGAGAAATCATGGATTCCAGAGACTCGTGTTAGGGAAAGGAGGCTGACTACAAAAGGACACAAGGGAACTTTTTGCATTGATGGAAATGCTGTGTATCTGTATCCTGATTAGTGATGGTTATATGACTAAATATAATTGTCAAAACTTAGCCTGAACTACAGATCTAAAAAAATGACTTACTATATGTAAATTTACCCCCATAAATTTGAAATTGGTTTTTAAAAAAGTAAACCTTGAAGAGATTCTGAGAGTGATTATTTTTTCAAATTATCAGTTGCATCTTGAAATACCTGGGTGAATTCTTGTTCTTTAAAAGTTAACATTTTTCTATTAATGTGTAGTGATTAAGGTAACATTAAAATAACATTGTGATAATTTCTTTTTCTTTAACATTTCTCATCAAAGTTTTCTCATATTTTTTTTTGTAGGGTCCACATATAGCTTCAGTTACATTAGCTGCTTATGAGTGCAATTCAGTTAATTTCCCTGAACCGCCTTATCCTGATCAGATTATTTGCCCAGATGAAGAGGGCACTGAAGGAGCCATTTCTTTATGGAGCATCATCTCAAAAGTTAGGATTGAGGCCTGCATGTGGGTAAGATGTCCGTTTTCATGCTTACCTAAAATTAACCTCGCTGTCTTGATTCTTTGTACCTTGTTGAAATTGAATCCAAACATATACCAAGTCAGTAAATAATTAATTAGTAAAGTCACCAACTACCTAACTTCCGTGGAAAAGAAATCTCTAGAGCTTCTCTTCGGAGAAGACAATGGTAACCCACTCCAGTACTCTTGCCTGGAAAATCCCATGGACAAAGGAGCCTGGTAGGCTGCAGTCCATGGGGTTGCGAAGAGTCGGACACAACTGAGTGACTTCAGTTTCACTTTTCACTTTTCACTTTCATGCACTGGAGAAGGAAATGGCAACCCACTCCAGTGTTCTTGCCTGGAGAATCCCAGGGATAGGGGAGCCTGGTGGGCTGCCGTCTGTGGGGTCGCACAGAGTCGGACACGACTGAAGCGACTTAGCAGCAGCAGCAGAGCCTCTCTTTGTAAAATAACATGCAGAAGGAAGGCAGGAAACTATAGGTACCACCAAGTATTGATGCCAAGGAGACAATAGCAGGGAAAAGGAATATAAATGATGCAAATATATTACTTTATAAAGTTTTACTGATGTTTATAAAATTTGATAAACACGTAGCAAATGGTTGTATATCAGTCCAAATTTGGTAAGTATTATATGTCTCTCTCTTAGATTTAAATACTCTGTGTTTAGTTTTAGAAGATTCATTTCATTTTCTGAATTGTAATACTAAAGGTCAGACATTTCTTTGTAAACTAAGCTTTACTGTATTTGAGATGAGATCAAACTATGTGATGATTTTACTTTCAGTAGTATCAATTATTCTTTTTATGGCTTGGTTAATATATTTTGGGAAATTTTGAACTACATGATCAATGGTAAATGTATTTTAATCTATATCCACACAAAGCATTTTTTATAGGCCTAAATTCATTCAGGTGTCTGTCATTGAGGAATAGTTCAGTTGCTAAAGACTTCTTATTGCCACTTGAATTATTTTTTTAATTTATTATTTGGAATTATTAAGTTTTATGTTCCCTGTAACTTTTTTCCCTTAACAGTTTCTTTCAGAATAAAAAATGTGAAACACATCTCTTAAATGTCTTAATTAAAGTGAAGATGAATACAGTGCCCACAGGAGAGGCAGTTTTGAAACACACTCAAATGTTAGAGATTACACTGTGCTTTAAAAGAATTAAAAGGGAAATGCCATTTATTGAATTTGTTGAATATGAAAAACAGGAAAAATTGTCATATTTCCTGTTACTGTCTTAAAAATACTGGAAACAAATTCATTGTACTAGTTGCATATGTTTTATAAATTTCATCACATTAGTCCTTTGATGAAAAGCTGTTAATAAAATAACTAGTTACTTGGAACATGCTATAGAGGGTATATGTATATAAACTTCAGTTTTCTGTTTTTCTTTTGTTCTTTCAAAATGATATATGTGGCTCAATTAACACTAATGCTAACAAAGAAATTTTCATCCCAGCTGGCAGTGATAACTGCCTCTTCCAAATTCCTATGGTGTGTACTATCTGAAACGCTCATTTGGTCTGGCTCCATGCATGCCTCAAATTACTTGAATTGGCTGGTGTAGTGGCTTACTTCCCCAAATAAATTTTTAGCTTCTCAAAAAAATTCAGGCTGTACCTTAAATTAAATGTATTACCCTCACAGCAATCAGCATTAGGCTTTGCTTATTATAGTTTTACAGGAATGTCAGAAAACACTGATTAATTGTGTGTGTTTGTTCTTCAATATTCCCTTCTTTGAAGCTGTCTTTTTGACAAAAAATGTAGCATATATCAAGTTATGTTTAAATTGATTTCTGTTGTTTTCACCATTTATAAGGACAGTCCTCTTAACGAAAAGTGCTAGGAAAACTGAATATGGTTATTGTTATTTAGCCGCTTACTTCGTGTCCAACTCTTTGTAACCTCTGCACTGAATACAGAGGTTATATATATGGACAGCAGCTCCTCTGTCCATGGGATTTCCCAGCAAGAATACTGGAATGGGTTGCCATTTCCTTCTCCAGCGGATCTTCCTGACCCAGGGATCAAACCCGTGTCTCCTACGTTGGCAGGCGGATTCTTTACCACTGAGACACCAGGGAAGCCCAGGGAAAACTGAATATCCACATGCAAAGAGAGAGATTGGATCCTTACATTATACCATATGTAAAAATTAACTCAAAATTCATCAAAGACCTAAACTTGAGTTCAAACTCTAAGACACTTAGAAGAAAATATCGAGACAAATCTGCATAGCAATTGGGCAGTGGTTTCTTAAATAAGACACTGAAAGTAGAGGCCACAAAAGAAAGAAAATAGATAAATTGAACTTTGCTACAATTAAAAGCTCTTGTACATCAAAGGGTACAGTGTCACGAGAGTGAAAAGAGAACCCACGAAAAGGAGGAAAATGTTTATAAGTCATACATCAGATAAGGATTTAATATTCAGGGTGTTTAAAGAATTATGCAACTCAACAATAAGAAGATTAACAACCCAATTTAAAAATGGGCAAAGGACTTGAATAAACACTTCTCCAAGGAAAAGATACAAATAGCTAATAAGTTCACAAATTCTCAACATCATTAGTTGTTGGGGAAATGCAAATCCAACCATAAGGGATTACCTCTTCGCATGTATTAGGATGGCTATTATTCTTTTAAAAAGAATAATGAGTATTGGTGAAGATGTGGAGAAATTGGAACACTCCTAGGTTGCTGGTGGGAATGTAAAGTGATTCAGCTGCTATGAAAAAGACTTTGGTGGTTTCTCAAAAATGTAAACATAGAATTACTCTGTGACCCTCCTCTAATGTAAATACCCAAAAGAACTGAAAACCAGGACTCAAGTATAACTATAGAAACTTGTAGCTCACTGTTAAGCAACATTATTCATATTATCAGAAAGGTAAGCCACGAAATTAAAAGATGCTTACTCCTTGGAAGGAAAGTTATGACCAACCTAGACAGCATATTAAAAAGCAGTGACATTACTTTGTCAGCAAAGCTCCGTCTAGTCAAGGCTATGGTTTTTCCAATAGTCATGTATGGATGTGAGAGTTGGACTGTAAAGAAAGCTGAGCGCTGAAGAATTGATGCTTTTGAACTGTGGTGTTGGAGAAGACTCTTGAGAATCCTTTGGACTGCAAGGAGATCCAACCAGTCCATCCTAAAGGAGATCAGTCCTGGGTGTTCATTAGAAGGACTGATGCTAAAGCTGAAACTCCAGTACTTTGGCCACCTCATGCGAAGAACAGACTAATTTGAAAAGACCCTGATGCTGGGAAAGATTGAAGGCGGGAGGAGAAGGGGATGACAGAGAATGAGATGGTTGGATGCATCACCGACTCAATGGACATGAGTTTTGAGTAAACTCTGGGAGCTGGTGATGGACAGGGAGGCCTGGCGTGCTGCGGTTCATGGGGTCGCAAAGAGTAGGACACAGCTGAGCAGCTGAGCTGAACCCTCAGTAGATGAGTGGATAAACAAAGTGTGGTATATACACAGAATATTACTCAGCCATGAAAAGGAATGAGATTTTTATACATGCTACAATATAGATGAACCTTGAAAACATGGTAAGTAAAATAATCTAGACATAGAAAGATATTGTATGATTCCGCTTAAATCAACTGTCAAGAGAATTCAGATTTGTTATAAAGACACAAAAACAGATTTGGGGGGACTTCACTTGTGGTCCAGTGGTTAAGAATCTGCCTGCCAATGCAAGGGATGTGGGTTTGATCCCTGGTCTAGGAAGATCCCACATGCCATGGAGCAACCTAAGCCAACATGCTGCAACAACTGAGCATACTTGCTAAAACTGCTGCAGCCCACAGGCCTAGAATCCATGCTCTTAAAGAAGAGAAACCACCTCAGTGAGAAGCACATGTGCTGCGACAGAGAGTAACCTCTGCTTGCCACAACTAGAAAAGGCCCATCACAGCAGTGAAGACCCAGCGCAGCCAAAAATTAAATAAATATTAATAATTAGTTAATTTAAAAATAAGCCCCATGATGGGGTAGATTTTTTTGTTTTTAAGTAGATTTGAGGTTACCAGCATTGTGGGGAATGAGAAGTTAATGCCTAATGAATAACAGTTTCCATTTGGATGAAGAAAACTACTGGAAATATTTTTTATATTTTATCCTTTCATAAAATTGATCTCATTTGTGTTCACATCCATATTTTTCATTTCATTATAAATATAGTAAATCAGTAAAATCCTTGAAATATGTATGTATGAAATGTGTACTTCCAGTTATAAAAATCAGTGGCAACCTCACTTTCAGTCTGTTCGTATAAGTCTTTGGAGCCCATTAAAATGAATTGTTTGGTGTTGCTGATCAGTGGCTTACCTCTTTTCAGTTTGTATCTTTCTGATATTTCACAATTTGTATCACTAGTGTTCAGTTCAGTTCAATTGCTCATTTGTGTCCGACTCTTTACAATCCCATGGACTGCGGCATGCCAGGCCTCCCTGTTAATGACCAACTCCTGGAGTTTACTCAAACTCATGTCCATTGAGTGAGTGATGCCATCCAACCATCTCATCCTCTGTCATCCCATTTTCCTCCCACCTTCAATCTTTCCCAGCATCAGGGTCTTTTTTAATGAGTCAGTTCTTCACATCAGGTGGCCAAAGTATTAGAGTTTCAGCTTCAGCATCAGTCCTTCCAATGAATATTCAGGACTGATTTCCTTTAGGATGGACTGGTTGGATCTCCTTGCAGTCCAAAGGACTCTCAAGAGTCTTCTCCAACACCACAGTTCAAAAGCATCAATTCTTCCATGCTCAGCTGTCTTTATAGTCTAACTCTCACATCCATACATGAC